TTGTGAAGAGCAACTCTTGCAGTTATATGAATAGGAAGGAGAATTTACACACTTCCCTACTCACTACCCTCCCAATACGTGGTGCACGAGAAAGAATTATAGCCACTGACTTAGAACACACAAGAGCACTACAGCTTCAGAACTGACTATTAGACAGGGAAATAGTAAGATATGCTTTCAATGCTTAGAAAGTCTGATTTATCCTTTTTATTCGAAAAATCTATATAAACTCATGTTAAATAATACACAAGTGGCCTGACAGCAGCAGTGGCAGCAGCACTTTTGCCCACCACCAATCTCATGGGCACGCCCATCACCCAGATCGTAACCTGTAGTTCCTTGGAAGACAGCCGTCTTTATTTCTTAGTGCTGGGAAATTCAGGACAAATGTTTTCAAGAATATAAAAAGTAATGCTGAAAGGACAAAATAGCTTCTGATGACCAAAATGTGACAGCAAAATGTCAAATATTATTATATCATCATCATTAATGTAAATAGTTGAAATAAGTTTGTATAAGGGCCTAAGTTTATCAGCATTCCTTTCCTGAACCACAGTTTCTGGCCTCCATGGCACTGGAGAATTCAGCTTTCTACTATAGAGGGAGTCACATGTAGCTTAGACTCTTTGCTTCCTTCTCCAATACTATTTTGCTGGAATAGATTTTGTTTAACAACAAAGGTTTAAAAAAAAAACCAAAAAAACAAAAAAAAAAAACACTTTTGAAGAGTAATATGGGAAACACATGAACAATTTATTAGTCAAAAAACAAAAGGTTGCTTCTCTGGCTTATTTCATCTTAAATCTGGAAGCATCTCATTTGAAACAGGCTTTTTTCTTTTATTTTTTCAAAGCTGATTGTGAAGAGTGAAGTTTGTTTTCTACCCTTCCACACACTGCTGAGAAGGGGAAAAAACAGACTCTTCCACATTTTATGTCAGATAAACCTAACATTTTATTAAATACGTCATAATTAGCCCCATTTATAACTTACAGCTGGTAATGGTCATGAGAAATGCCTGTGGAAATACAAAAAGGAATAAAAAGCCACACAGAAGTAAAGCCTAAAATGATCGTTCATAACCAACAGATTTAAAGTAAAGTACCAGGGGCCGGGCGTGGTGGCTCACGCCTGTAATCCCAGCACTTTGGGAGGCTGCGGTGGGCGGATCATCTGAGGTCAGGAGTTCGAGACCAGCGTGGCCAACATGGCGAAACCCTGTCTCCACTAAAAAAATTAAAAAAAATTAGCCCGTCATGGTGGTGTGTGCCTGTAATCCCACCTACTCAGAAGGCTGAGGCAAGAGAATCACTTGAACCCAGGAGGCGGAGGTTGCAGTGAGCTGAGATTGCTCCATTGCACTCCAGCCTGGGCAACAGAGAGAACAAGACTCCGCCTCATTCATAAATAAATAAAGCAAAGTACCAGGGAAGAACCCACTCTGATCCCTCCATGTGAGCTCTGGATCCCATTCCACCTTCTAAGCAAATTCATTGTACCAGTTATTCCTCTCTGCTATGTATTGTCCTGTTTCCTCTCCACTCAATATATGCTGTAAGCATTCAAACATCCTAGAGTCTCTACTGTCTGAAAATATTCCCTAAATCCTATTTCCCTGTCCAGCTGCTGCCTCTCTCATGTCTACACATACTGCTATGACTTTTTTCAATTCTCATATGCCACTTAACCCAGCATAGTCAAGATTTCACCTCAATTCCACAACACAAACAGCTCACAGTAATCTTCATGCTACTAGACACAGTGGACTCCACCTCTCACTACCTATTCAGTCATTTCTTTGTGAAACTACCCTGTGCCTTCAGCTACTACAATACCACACTTGTTTTGGTTTTTCCTTTCTCTCTCTCCATTCTTTTTTCCTTTTCCTTTGGATGTTCCACCTAACCTTTATATATTTATGTTCCCAGATCTTATTCATAAGTGTCTTCCCTCCTGACCAAATACTCCCCCCATGGCTTCAAATGCCAGCTATATTCTAACAGTTTCCACATTTATTCATTGCCAGTCCTGACCCCTCTTCTAAGCTCCAGATCTTTTAGTCAACATGTCCAAAACGAAACTCACAATCTTCCTAAGCTCCATCAAAACCCCTATACCTCAGTAAACTACACTACTGTTCACTCATTTGCCGATGCCAGAAACCTGAGAACCATTCCTCTTCCGTGTAATTTATAGCAAATTATCTTAATTTCATCTCTAAAATGCATCCCAATCCCATCTAGTTCTTTTCACCTGTACTGCCCATCCTAGTTCACCCTTATTTCAAATGTAGGACTAGACTTAACTGCTTATCTTCCCACTTTTTCTCTTGCCTCCTCCAACCCATCCTCCATCTTTTGTCATCTTTTTTTTTTTTTTTTTTTGACGGAGTCTCACTCTATTGCCCATGCTGGAGTGCAGTGGTATGACCTCAGCTTACTGCAACCTCTGCCTCTTGGGTTCAAGTGATTCTCCTGCCTCAGCCTCTGAGTAGCTGGGACTACAGGCATGAGCCACACACCCAGCTAATTTTTTGTATTTTTACTAGAGATGGGGTTTCGCCATGTTGGCCAGGCTGCTCTCAAACTCCTGACCTCAGGTGATCCACCTGCCTTGGCCTCCCAAAGTGCTGGGATTACAGGCGTAAGCCACCGTGCCCGACCCAATCCATCCTCCATACAGCAGCCACAGTGATCTTTTGAAAATATGTATCTAATCATGTCATTGCCTGCACAGATGCTTTGGTGAAGGAGTATCAGTGAATCCTAAAACTGACAGGTGAAAGGCTGAGAATAGAATAGTCACATGGTGACAAAGTACCCTCCTACAAATTACTAATTCAGAGGTTAAAATGTGCCTTCATAAGGGAGACATACAGTGGTTACCACTTAACCAAATGACCAGACTTAGCATCACTAACAGTAGGACATCTTGACATTATAGGCCTCCTGATCTGATAAAAGCGAAGTTCACAACATCACCTATGAAGTATTCTCACTAAAAATGCTTAACTTATGTCTAACTGTGCCTTTACTCAGTTGTGCGGAGCTTCCAATTTACAGGAAATGTATAGAGGAAAAAGTTAAATGCCTATGTAAGTAAACAATTGGATAAATCCAGAATGTGGATCATTCCACAAGACAAATGGGCTGGACTCTTCAATATGTCAATGAAAAGAAAGGCAGGGAGTACGATGTAAGAATTGTTGTACATTAACAGACTATGAAGATTTAAACAGCCAAATGTAATGCATGAATCTTGATGGAATCCTGACTTTAAAAGTTATATACATACATATTTATTTATATATACACACATATATATGCACATGACATTTTTGAAGAAATTATGAAAATTTGAATAGAAAATAAAGTTTATTGACTAATGTGATAATTTATTTCAGTAATAAGAGAACAGAGATTATGTAGAAGTGTCCTTAATCAAAGGAGGTGTGTGCTAAATTATCTAGTGGTTAGGTGTTACGATGTCTGCAACCTCCTTTTGAATGGACTTGGTCAAAAAATAAAACGATACCTATATATAGTGAGAATGATAAAGCAAATACTATAAATATGATTGTATAAGTAAAAGGTACATGGATGTTCATTATATTTTTGAACTTTAGAGTGAGCTTGTGCATTCTCAAAATAAATTGTATAGTAACAAAACATACCCTTCAATGACTTCTCATCATTCTTAGGATAAAGTCTAAAATCCTCCCATGATCCACAAGGTCCCATATGGCCTGGCCCCTGCCTACCTCTCCAGCTTTCTCTCTCTCTCTCACTCACTCTACTTCAGTGACATGGTCTTAGTTCATACATAACCTTCAAGTCTCCACTGAAATACCACCTCCTTGAGCTCTCTAGGACTGGTGTATGAAGGGATGAGTACAGCTGAGGGATACCTGAGGTGGACAGGAAAAGGGGGAATGGATTATGCAGGAATGAAGTGGGAAAGGGGGCAATTTTCAGGACTAAGAATGGAATGGGATGGAATAACTTGGAAGGAGGCAGAAACAAAGATGGACTGGCTAAACTAGAACATGGTTGAAGATACTAGTATCTTCTATTAAACCTCCATCATAAGTTTTCATGACTTTCTATAACGCTCATTCATAATATGATTTTATTTAAATACTAAGTGTGCACTTGTGTAATGTCTAAAATCTGCGCCAAATAGTAACCTTTACGCTAATAAAGATTAGGGCAGTTTTACTTATCATATCCCCAACACCTAGCAAACAGTAAGTGCTCAATAAATGTTGGCCTAATGGGTGAATATCCCACAATAATTTGACTTCAAAGGAATACAATTTTAGTCCAAATGCTACTTAACTCAAGTAGTAAATGTCCATTAAAGTTGAGATATTAAAAATGGCTACTACATGTAGTTATCAGAGCTGATGATTTAGATGATTATTAAGGTTAATGAGCAGTTTTTCACCAGATTTATTGAATGTAATCATATTCATCTTCTCTCATCTTTAGGTATTCTTCTTTTCCCTCTGCTTTTTTTCTATCTATAAAAACTGGTATTAAGAAACAAAATATTTCACATCAATAACTTTATGTCAAGCTCTAATTGTTAACATCAGTAGGCTGCAGCATGGCTCTTAAAGCCAGGTACACAAGTTTAGAACCAAACACATCAGTAAGCCTGACCCAGAAAGCACAGCTATCGCTGTTTGCCATTTGTTAAAAGATGAAGCAGGTGAGAAAATGTAGATTGGTTAAATACAAATCCATCTTCTCTGTTAGAACCATACAAATAATAACTACTAGAAGAAAAATTCTGCTGTCAAGAATAACTGTGGCTTCCTCAATACAGTGTATATTTAAAATTAATGAAGATGATTTGATATATGACAATCCATATGATCACCAACATAAAAATGTAGCTCTGTTCTATATTCAGACTCCATATAGCTAAAGGATGAGTAAATTTTGTCTAGAACTCAAGTACAGTTGAATAAATTGATAAATATAACCCTAGTTTACCTGTACAGTTGGTAAAAACACACAGAGTCAGGTGTTTGGATAATTTTTCTCGGTCTTGATGGTAATCACATCCAAAGTTGACAAGTCTAAGAACACAAAGAATGAGAACTTATTGTATGCATTTAAAAATACATCCCTTCATAAAGGATGTGAGTAAGCACTAAATAATATACCCACAGAAATAGAAACACATTCCTGAGAAATTTAAGTAGATAACTTTTTTTGGTTAATAAATTATGTAGTTTTTTCAAAATACACGGTATATAAATGGCATTAGCCTAATAATAAGGAAAAAATATTACTTTCATCTTACATTTTTATAACTTTTCTGATACAGAGTAATGCACACACTAGTTTCAAAGTAAGCAAAGCTAAATGCTCATACATGACGAAATAAAGCTAGTGAAATACTTAACAGTTCAGGATTATCATTACTCCAATTTAGAAAGATTTTCATGTCTTCTACATATTGATGGCCTTATGCTTATTTTTTCAGAAGCATCTCATGTTTCCGCCACATGTAAAATAGAGTGGAAAAAGGAAAAAACCTTGTCTTTTGTGTAAAAAGGAAAACAGAAAAAAAAAAACCAATCAACTCAGCTGAGCTACAAGTGGATTGACCTGTGACATCCTCCTTGATGGCAATAAAAAGGGTTTCGATGTTTGATTCCCAATGTAGCTCTCTGACCCATCGAATCCTTCTATTTAATCACAGGGAGAAGGGTATATCCATATATCAAAATAAATGGAGATGCACTACAGAAATAAATGGCTAAGAAAATCAATACAATTGACTTTATATGTAAAATCCTGGGTTCATGTTTGATAAAAGTTGTTTACATTTGCTATGGAGAATGGGAATACAAAAAAAGATGGACACAGTATATCAAACTCTCTTTTTATCTGCATAGCATAAAGTAGGAATAAATATAATCATTTTGCCCACAAGTATCTATAAAAATTAGTAACGACCTATGAATAACTTACTTAAATCCTGAGTTGCTTAATGATACGTCCAAGGGTACTTCAAACTGTCAAAAAAAATCAGAAGAAAATGAACCCACAATGAAAGTGATGACAGTTCTGAAAACCAGAGCAAGCCCAAGTAAACCAGAAAAATATTGTGCTTGCCTAATAATGAAATGTAACCATCATTATCTTCAGAGGTTGTACTCCAAATCCATTGCATAGAAAGTCCATTGAAAATACTCTGGAGTTTACATACAATCATGAGCTTGATGTTTATTTATTTCTTAAAGGGTTAATGCTTGACAAACTTTGTCTTAGATTTGAATATCAAAAACAGATTGTACAATAGAACAATTGGAAGCAACCATCTTTTACAAGACATAGATGACTGAGTAAGAAAGGAAGGACTGGGTGTCTTTAAAAGGAGAGTAGATGAGCCAACAGAAGCACAGGATGGGTAAGTGTAATTCTTGCAATGGCATAACAATGTGTATTAGACAGCAACACTAGTCCTACTCAAGAATAGGCCAGCACGGTGGCTCACACCTGTAATTCCAGAACCTTGGGAGGCCAAGGCAAGTGGATTGCTTGAGGTCAGGAGTTCAATACCAGCCTGGCCAACATAGTAAAATCTCATCCCTACTAAAACACAAAAATTAGCTGGTCATGGTGACAGGTGCCTGTAATCCCGGGTACTAGGGGAGGCTGAGACAGGATAATTGATTGAATCCAGGAGGCAGAGGTTGCAGTGAGAAGAGATCATGCCACTGCACTCCAGTCAGGGCAACAGAGTGAGACTCTGTCTAAAAAAGAAAAAAACAAAAAAAAAACAAAAAAAACAACACTGTATTGCCCATCACAAAGATATTAAAGACTCTTCACCACAATGCTAACTTTTTAAAAATCTTTTTAAAAATTTAAATTCTTAAATTTACATTTTCCTATTTTTAGAAGTTTTTTCTTTTTTTTCCATTGATGCAACAAATGCTAACGTTCCAAATAGCTTTTTCAGGGGTAATGCTAGATTTTGGTTAAACTATGCCCTCTGATTGACTTGTCTCTTTATTCTCAAATCCACCATCTTCACAAGTCCTTTTGGGCCAAATAACTTGTAACCCCTTAAAGCTATGTCTTACAGACCCCAAAAATTATTAGGTTGGTGTAAAAGTAACTGCAGCTCTTGCCATTACTTTTAAATGATTAGAAACCGCAATTACTTTTGCGTCAACCTAATACCTTCTACTAATCCTCACTTACACGTGTTTCTTTGATGTGAAGCATTCAGTTAGCGGATATTTCTGGTGTGTGTTCTTCTAGTGACCTAATGAACTGGATTTGTTATGGAGTGGAAGCCTGGAGACGGCAAGAACTAATTTTACTTGCTCATACAAGTGACTAACATAAATATCAGGAATGCTAAAGCGCTGCTCATAATAACAATTCTCTTAAAAGAGGGTAATGTATCGGCGGTGGCTCACGCCTGTAATCCCAGCACTTTAGGAGGCCGAGGCAGGCGGATCACGAGGTCAGGAGATCCAGACAATCCTGGATATTATGGTGAAACCCCATCTCTACTAAAAATACAAAAAAATTAGCCAGGCGGGGTGGCGGGCGCCTGTAGTCCCAGCTACTCGGGAGGCTGAGGCGGAAGAATGGCGTGAACCCAGGAGGTGGAGCTTGCAGTGAGCCGAGATCACACCACTGCACTCCAGCCTGGGTGACAGAGCAAGATTCCATCTCAAAAAAAAAAAAAAAAAAGAGTAATGTATCATAAACTTTCCTGTAGTGTGATCATTTTCTGGACTTACCATTAAGTTATAGCTCTCATCAGCATAAAACTGGATACATTTTAAGATACTCCTTGATTTCTAAAAGAGAAAACAGAATGGCATATTTATTTAAAAACTAGGAAAAAAAGAAAAGGAAGCAGTCAAGAAGCAAACAATTATGAAAATCTTTTCATCATTATGTTTAATAAAACTTCACTGACTATTTCCATCAATGAAAATGTAGTAATTAATGAACTGCAGTAATAATGTCAAAATCAAATTGTTCTTATAAAAAAAAGTGCTGGGGCCAAGCACTATGGCTCATGCCTGTAACCCATGTTTTAGGAGCCTGAGGCGGGAGGATCACTTGAGCCCTGGAGTTCAAGGCTGCAGTGAGCTATGATCATACCACTGCGCTCCAGCCTCAGCAAGAGAGCAAGACCCTGTCTCTAAAAAAATTAATATTTTTGTTAAAAAAAAAAAAAAAAAGGAGTGCCCATGAACTAGTTTTTTTACCTTCAGGTCAATGTAGTATAATCTCTGTTCTGACATATCCCACTGAGCCCAAACGAAATCCTCAGCTATTCTGTCTCTCGGGAGATGGCCAGAATTTTTAATCACCTAAAAATGAAAAAAAAAAAAGGTATGAATAACTTTTAAAGGAGAACATATCTGGAATTCATAATTATTTTCCATGTCTATCTTTACGATACGTGTAAATATTTCCACAGTTCACTGTTAGAAGCTCCCCACCCCTAGCACACACAGTCTTTCCAGAAATGTTTTAAGACATCATTTCATTGCCTCCCCTTCTTCCCACTTATAACATATGATTGTATTATTGCTCTTAGTTTAGCAGACAGGCTGAGGCTGTTGAAGAAAACACCACACCTCCCACAAATCAATAGCTGCATTAATAGAAGATTCAGAACTTACTGTTCTGTACCTAACTCTCTCAAGTCAAGCCTCTGCAGACAAGAACCCTCCACTACCAAAGACAAAGGGTGTGATGCCAAGGAAAAACTCAGGCCTGGCAGAGGAAAGTAGTAGACAATGACCCCAGTTTGGCCATAAACCAACCATGCAGCTTTGGGCATGCCTCTCACCTTTATGTCTCCCATGATGAGTACGATGATATTGCCCATCTCTCAGCAATACCTAACTACTCATTCTTCAAGGCCTGACTTACACATTGTGTCCTACACAAAGCCTTCCCTCACATCCCCAAGATGTAATATAATCCTCACCTGTTTTCCCATGGTGCATTGGCATGTTTCTATGACAATTACATTTTAATTAATGCTATAAGCCTCCCGCAATGAGTACACACTCTTCTACAACACATTTCTTTTTTTTTTTTTTTTTTTTTTTAGAGGGAGTCTCGCACTGTCGCCCAGGCTGGAGTGCAGTGGCCGGATCTCAGCTCACTGCAAGCTCCGCCTCCCGGGTTTGCGCCATTCTCCTGCCTCAGCCTCCCGAGTAGCTGGGACTACAGGCGCCCGCCACCTTGCCCGGCTATTTTTTTGTATTTTTTAGTAGAGACGGGGTTTCACTATGTTAGCCAGGATGGTCTCGACCTCCTGACCTCGTGATCCTCCCGTCTCGGCCTCCCAAAGTGCTGGGATTACAGGCTTGAGCCACCGCACCCGGCCTCTACAACACCTTTCTATTACCAATGCATTGATTGTTTCTAGCATGTAACAGTGCTCAAGGAATGTTTGTTCAGAAGGCGGAAAATGGGCCAGGCACAGTGGCTCACGTCTGTAATCCCAGCACTTTGGGAGGCTGAGGTAGGTGGATCACCTGAGGTCAGGAGTTCGAGACCAGCCTGGTCAACATGGTGAAACCCCATCTCTACTAAAAAAATACAAATATTAGCCAGGCATGGGGGTGCACACCTGTAATCCCAGCTAATCGGGAGGCTGAGGCCAGAGAATCACTTGAACCCAAGAGATGGAGGTTACAGTGAGCCGAGATTATACCACTGCATTCCAGCCTGGGTGACAGAGCAAGACTCCATCTCAAAAAAAGAAAAAAATCCTTTTTTATGCCTTCATGGAATACTATGCAGCCATAAAAAAGGATGAGTTCATGTCCTTTGTAGGCACATGGATGCAGCTGGAAACCATCATTCTCAGCAAACTATCGCAAGAACAGAAAACCAAATGCCACATGTTCTCACTCATAGGTGGGAAATGAACAATGAGAACACTTGGACACAGGAAGGGGAACATCACACACCAGGGTCTGTTGTGGGGTGGAGGGAGAGGAGAAGGATAGCATTAGGAGATATACCTAATGTAAATGACGAGTTAATGAGTGCAGCACACCAACATGGCACATGTATACATATGTAACAAACCTGCACGTTGTGCACATGTACCCTAGAACATGAAGTATAATATAAAAAAAAAAAAAAAACAAAAAAACAAAAGGCAGAAAATGAAATAAGGTGTACAAGAGTAAATTGCCAAAGATATTATAAGTATAAAGTATTTGTTTACTAAGTAACAAAGTCAGAACTATGGAACTTTAAAATTAGGAGATTCTAGAAACCATCCAATTCAATCCCTTAACAGGTAAGAAAACTGAGGCTCTCAGCACTTAGATTAGGCCGCATAGTTAGTTCAGCAAGGTCTGGAATCTATGTCCTGGAATCCTCCCAGTGCCCTTTCAGTGCATCAGCTGACCTCAAAATAATTTAACAGAAGCAGTTAAGAATTAACTTTCCTCAAAATGCTTATTAAGCAAAAGTAACCTACATTGAGATAGATGAGTAAAGAATAAAGACAGGTTGGGGTAGAAGAAATGAAGAAAAAAGAAACACCAGACTGGTCCATGTTCATGCCTAAACCCTCCCTAATCCTCACAGGGATTTCTCCACCCATGGTAACTTGGAACTTGAGGGGAACCATGTGGCATAAAGAGTTGTAAACCACTATTTCCTGCTTACCCTGTCCATTACATTTAGACAAGAGGAAAGTGATGCCAGAGAAAAGATCCACGAGGACCTGTCTGTCTCTAAACTTTGGGCAATCATTTTTCTGAAATTTGTTGAGTTGGAGTAGATTTGAGAACCGTTCCAGGTAAAGGTATGTACTAACAAGAACATGAATGTCAGATTGTGGCATACCCAGGTTCAAATCTCAATTTTGTTTCTCTCTAGAGTCACCTCATCTCTGTGAGTCTTGGCTGCTGTCTTCTCTGTAAAAACAGGGATAAGCCTAATACCATCTCTATCATGTAGGGATGTTGCGAAGAATATGTGGAATTGCATATTCTTTGCAACATCCCTGCATGATAGAGATGGTCTTATACTTACGCTGTATGAAGCTGTCATCTAAGCCTTTAAAAATGAGGGCAGAAGTACTTCTTGGAAGAACACATGTGAATTAAGGAATGCTAAAGCTGTACCATCCTGAATGGCAGAATCTTTTCTGGGCTGCTGACAGGTGTCCCCTCCATCACTCTTTCCAGTATGTGTCTGTCCGCCTCTCTCTCTCTGCTCTCAAGCCCTCTTCTAACCAGTCAGTCCCCTGTCTATGCTCATTCCCAGTTCCTGACCCCAACTTGCTTATTTATTTCTCTTCTAAATTCTCATCACTGGCTTTGGGATTCGGCCTTGATCTTTCCTCCTGGGCTTGACCCTCTTCTGACCCCTGGCCCTGTCTGTCCTTGTGCTCCCATCCACTTAGCCCCTGCAGGACAATGGTAGCCCAGAGCTTCAGTGACACACTTTCTCCTGGCAATTTTCCAGCCAGGCTTCTTGATTCAAGGCTTTCAATGCTGATACACAATTTGTAAGTGCCATTTTCTGTTTCAATTTGTTCATTTAACTTTAAAATCTTCAGAGAAACATTAAAATCTTCAGAGACAATTTTGATGCAGACTAAATATTGAAGAAAATCATTTTTAATATCAGTAACATATTAAGATCCTATATAAATTATCAAGAAAAAGCCCAGTAGAAAAATAGATAAGGATACAACTAAACAATTTTCAAAAAAGCAAATCAAATAGCCAGTACGCTGAGGAAAAGATGGTGAAATGCATCAATATTAAGGGAGATACAGACTGAGATATCAACTTAAACTCATCAAATTGGAAATTTTTTAAAAGGTAAGTATACCTTTTCGTGATATGAATTGAGGGAAAACGTACTCTTAAATTTTGCTTCAAACATTGTCAATTGTTAGAATTTTTTTGGAAAGCAACCTGGAAAAATCTGTTGGAATTTATTAAATGGATGTACCCATCAAACACTCCATCCCTGAGGATTTAGCTCAAATAAACATATGTACCAATACATAAGGCTATAGGAAAAAAAGTTTAAGATGATTTATAATTCAAAAGCAAAAACAAAAAACTGGCAATTTAGTGAATGTCTATCCATAGCAGAGACCATTATCTGCTTCTAAAGAGAATGAATTGGAGCTATTCTAGTTTACTTGTAGGTAATTCCACAAAGCTGAATGAGTAAGAAATGGATAATAAACCCCTGGGTGGGTCAGAGGTGGGGATAGGAGATTAGTATTAGTATGGAGAAAAGTATGATACATACCAGGTTGTGAACAAAAGAGATTAAAAAAAAAAAAAGGTACATGTGGAAAACAAGCAAAAAAATTACACTCTATGAAACCCATATATGGTATGATATATAGTATGATTGTATATATGGTATAAATATATGGTATGATCCCATGATATGCATATATGTACATACAAAAACTAGAGTAAATAACCAATTAGTTACATTTCTATTTTAGTAACCCATAGGGATACTCCTGATCTTTTTACCTGCTAAGCAAAAGCAAACACAAAAGCAGCAGGTAAATTTATGTATTATGATTCTACTTTGGTAAAAACAATTGAATCCCCACATACAACCTTACACAGGTTTGCATGAGCAAGGTAAAAGCTGTGGAAAGATACACAGGCTGTTATAAGCTTCTTCAGGATACTGAGATTGAGGGTTGAGATAGAGAAAAATGGGATAATTAACTTCATATATATTTGTATCATTTCACACATTAGAACAGCAAGTCTATACTTCAAAAGTTATCAAATAAAGAAAACATCACATATCAATAACATTTTCTTTAGCAGTCTAGTAATGTAGTTCTTTGTGGAACAAAAACTATGAGGCGAAAAGAATTTCAAATCTTTACCACTCTATTTCCATCTTGTTGGGCGACATGGATACGTAATTGCTCAATATCTTTAAAAGAAAAACAGAGAAAGATAATTTAACTTTAAGGAAACATATGAGTACTATTTTTGCCTAACACTTGTAAAAACATTGTTATAAAAGCAATGCAGATTAAACAACTGGCCATAAAAACAACATTATCACAAACTGTAATCTCACAATAGAGGTTCAAAAACTTTTTAAAACCCATTTTTCTCCATCCTCCCTTTACAGTTAATTTCAAGTCCTGCATTTATTCTGCTCCTCAATATCAACAATACATGAAGCATTTAGCCCACCTGCTTCCCTGGGTTCCCTCAGCAAGTACTTGGCTCCCCTATACCATCAGTGTTGTCTAGGGCTAACAAGGGCTTACTTAGCAGAGTTTATCTCCAATTCCCAAATACCAAACAGTTGTTTGTATGAACATACCAGATAAAAAACTCATTATACGAGACATTTTGGGGAAGCATTTTAATAGAGGTCAATTTCACTTGAACAAAACCCTGAACACTAAAGACAGTCTGTGTAGATGGTCCCTTTCTATTGGTAACAATTTGAATTCAGCCATATTTACCTTCTGCTGGTCCTAGTTACAAAACTGAACACGAGCTTAGACACTGAACAAAGCCTTACCCCTCAAGCCTGTCCTTCCAACTATAAACTAGCAGTTTCATCTTGTAATGCGAAAGACAACTTACAAGCTCCACTAGTAAATTTTGTCCTTCCTCTCCCTCTCCTAACTTGAAATCATCATGGAAGGACATAACCTTTTATGTCCTAAACTTATTTGCCTCCAACTGAATTTGTCTAAGTTAGTAGGTCTTCTCAAGTTCTGCCATGGGATTCTTCTAGCTACCATAAACTTCCCCTCTCTCCATCCAAGCATCTCTATATTATAGCTATCCACTGTGACAGACACCCAAAAGACAGATGAACTAAAAATGACAAAAATGACCTGTTCTACAAACATTCTACCATGGGACAAAATTGCAAATCCATGTATGCAAGAGCCCATCATTCCCAGGATGAGAAAGCTGAACAGAGCCAAAGGGAACAACACTTGGGGGCCAAAGGAAAAGCCCTTCCCAAGGAATTTCAGGTCTCATATGGACATCAAAGTTCAGTGGACCCTCGGCAATGGCAGGTGGATATCTAGAAGATTCAATCATGTCCCACACTAGGAGACGATATGCCATTCATGAAATTCCCATATTCCACCTAAAGATACACTTACATTTCTCTTCTGAAATCAGTAACAGATGGTTCTCTGGAAGAGGATGACTTTCAACATGTGGGTAGAGAAACTGTAAAAAAGAAATTAATCATAATTGTAAGCAACTATCTTGCTTGAACAAGTATTTCCAAAGTTGTGCTTGATGACTGTACTATTAAAGACCATTGAAGAAACTGGGAATCACAGAAGAATTTAGGGAAATCACCTGCACACACACATTGCAGGTCAAAGCAAGCAAGAAAACAGAACACTGTCAGGACCTCAGCTTTCGAGAGGGGAATTGATCTCAAATACAACACTATCTTCACTTATTTAAACAGTAAGGCTTCTGGCTGGGCACAGTGGCTCACACCTGTATCCCCAGCACTTTAGGAAGCCAAGACAGGCAGATCACTTGATCTCAGGAGTTCAAGACCAGCCTGGGCAACATGGCAAGACCCCATCTCTACAAAAAATACAAAAGATTAGCCAAGTGTGGTGGCATGTGCCTGTAGTCCCAGCCACTCAGGAGATTGAGGTGTGAGGATCACTTGAACCCAGGAGGTAGAAGTTGGAGTGAGCCAAGATCATGCCACTATACTCTAGCCTGGGTGATAAGAGAGCAAGACTCTGCTAAAAATAAAGTAAAATAAACAGTAAATGTTAAAGTTGAAGCTATTTCTAGGGATGGTGCTTCCTATCTGGAATATCTGATTCTGAAACCAATCAGAAATAATGCAAACAACATTTATACAGAATGTTCTATTTCACACACACACACACACACACACACACACACATATCAACATAGTCTTTGTGCAACTAAACCTAGTATATAATTTGAGAGCCAAGTAAACATATTCCCCACGACAACTTCCAAAGTCCCACATCCGAGAGACAAAGCACAACATAACCAGAACTTGTCAAGAAAGAACAGTGAGTCATGGTGTCACACGAGTTGAGGATTTACAAGCCTGAAAGCACAGAACGACTGTCACCAGGAAGAAAAGGCTTAAGTACACCCCATTCCTCCTCCTCTGTGCTCTCCCATATGAGCCCACCACTATGTGTCTGTTTGCAGGACAAAGCAGGCTGCCAGCAACACAAGTCTTGACCCCGTCAGCTGTGATAATGAGGAAAAACTGGTCACAGGATGACTCAAAAGGGCAACTGTAAACCAATCGTTTTATTTTGTGGCATGAAAGACCCGTGAATTTTGTTCTTTTCCTCACCCAAAACTTGAAAATAATATAAAAGGGCATAACTTTTATGTCCCAATCTCTCAGTCATTAGTCAGACTAAACTTAGGACAATTTTTTGTTATTTCCTAGTGCCCTAACTTTGCATAATATCAGATTAAAAATAGTACTAGTCAATTTTTGGAACATTTATAGTTGAGTTCCCTTTTAGAAATGAAAAGCAAAACATATGCTTCAGAGCAATGAAGTCAAAATTATAAAATAGCAATGCAAAATTCAGCTACAAAAATAATACAGAACTAACTGTCTCATAATTTGGAAAATGTCTCACATCAAACAAGATACTTTGTATACCGGAGTTGAGGAAAAGCAGAGATGAATGACACCACATACAGGATAGGAGAACAAATGTCCAGTGCCTCAAAATATGGAGATATCTGCTCCTACAGAAGATGGTATTGCCTCCAGCTCTACAGAGGTGGCCAGGGCATGCCTGCTTAGGAACGTGACATGGACTGAGGTGCTGAAGAGGTGTAACTGCCAACCTCTAAACCTCTGCCTGGTTTTCCTGTGACAATCAGGGAGAATGTTATTTTTAAAGTCCCATTTAGGTAGGTGTTGTTTTTCTTTCTATTATAAGGTGTTCCTAGAGTAAGGCCTGGAAACCAAAAGCAGACAGGCTTCAGACACAGCTCTACAAAAGCACTCAAGGTGATAACACAGAATTTGGGGAGGGCACAGAAGCGTGGAATTTAATCAGTGTTAGTTTTCAATATTTAAGAAAGCAACCTGAGAGCACTGCTTTATTTTTTGAAAAAAGCCAAGAACGTAAAACAATTTCTGGGCCATGTCCTAACAATTGGAAGGTCTGGATCTATCTATAAACATGCCTTTTAAATATTACTTGAAAAAGCAAGACAGTGAGTTATTATATTGAATCACATAATATACGCACTACAGAACAAATGAAAATCCAGTGTTTGGTAAATGGATGCTTGTGGCTTAGGATGAAAATCCTAGTGACAGGATCTTACAACCAAGAGTATGGATGAGTTACTTCGGGAATCAGCAGATTATATTTACTTAGGAAAATTTACCTTCACAAATAAGGAGCTAGACTTAGAATGAATATTGGTCTTTGGAGGTCTGTAGTCTAGGTGTGTAGAGGGTGTGGAATTACCCACTGGAACTATCTTGAAGACACACCTCATGCTGAAACGGAACACTCAAAGGGTCCCGGATTGGGATCCAAGCCCCACCTGCCACTGTCCTCCTCTGTGTAGGTGGTCAAGACTACACATGCAGAGTTAGGGAAATGTGCTACTGGAAATCACCATGGATGTTTTTATAAGAAAAAGGAAATTGATCCCAGGGCAAGACCAACTCAATGGACAGTAGATGTCATTTCTCTAGAGGCAGGACGGAGAAGGTGGGAATTTGCCACTGGGGTTTGGAGGAGTTTCTCTCTCCAGAGGCATAGACACAGGGGCAGGAGGCAGGGCTAGGGACTGAGATGGGTCCACAGAATGAGTATAAGTTTTACTTTATTTGGGTGGGGACCTTTCCTTTGGCCTATAGATGCTGTCCTGTTCCATGTACTTTTAACTTTTTTGTATTGGTTTTTTTTTTTTGAGATGGAGTTTTGCTCTGTTGCCCAGGCTGGAGTGCAATGGCACAATCTTGGCTCACTGCAACCTCCGCCTCCCAGGTTCAAGTGATTCTCCCACCTCAGCCTTCTGAGTAGATGGGATTACAGTAGTGCACCACAATGCCTGGCTAATTTTTATATTTTTAGTAGAGATGGGGTTTCGCCATGTTGGCCAGGCTGGTCTCAAACTCCTGAGCTCTGGCAATCCGCCCTCCTTAGCCTCCCAAAGTGCTAGGATCATAGGCATGAGCCGCCGCACCCAGTCACTTTTTTTTTTAAACTGAGTTCACATAACATAAAATTTACCATTTTAACCACTTTAGTATATACAATTTCTGGTAGTTTTTAATATATTTGCAATGTATACAACCACTTGCTTTTAAAAACTTTTCCCCTTTCTATGTTCCAATTCCCTTTAGTTACCCCAATCCTTCAGTCATGTCTCCACCATCTATATGGCCCTAACAAGATGCTGAGGAAGCCAAAGAACAGACCAGAAAAGGGAAGTGTGCTCTGTCCCCCAGCCGCCCCACACTGACGACAGTGTAGACAGAGTAGCTTCCTGAGGGTAGGGGAATGCAGCTTGGGAGCTTCAGGCTAGGCCATGTCTGGAATTGAGGAGTGACCCACAGTGCTGTCAGGAGTGGCTGGGAAATGTGCAGCTGAAAGGACTGGCTGACAGGGGAGGACCCTGGGCAGACAGAGACAACCCTCTCCCCTAATCCACTGGAATAGGGAGGCCCATAGGCTGGAGGCTGGTAGTAGCTTGGGGGACAGAAAGGCAGACACTTTGAGTGGTGCAGATTGACTCCAGCTAGACCAAAAGAAATGATATTTTGACCCTGTAACAAAACGTGAAATTAGGCGAAAGGAAATTATGCTGTAGCACCGCATGAACACATACAGTTGATTCAAATTATTTGTAGTAGTTATGTTCTGTAACATCACCACAAATGCTGTATACTGAATACTGAACCATTGTTTCTACGGAAAATACAAAGGGAATTGATCACAATTCTGAAAGACACAGTCCCAAATGCCATATCCTAAATATTGAAATCCCAAAAGATCAAAATCCCAAAAATATAATTCTGGAAGATAATAATTTTAAAAATTATTTAAAAGATGTACTGATGGCCAGGCGCGGCGGCTCACTCCTGTAATCCCAGCACTTTCGGAGGCCGAGACGGGCGGATCACGAGGTCAGGAGATTGAGATCATCCTGGCTAACACTGCAAAACCCCGTCTCTACTAAAAATACAAAAATTAGCCGGGCACGGTGGCAGGCACCTGTAGCCCCAGCTACACGGGAGGCTGAGACAGGAGAATGGCGTGAACCTGGGAGGTGGAGCTTGCAGTGAGTGGAGATCGTGCCACTGCACTCCAGCCTGGGAGACAGAGCGAGACTCCATCTCAAAAAAAAAAAAAAAAAAAAAAGATGTACTGACTTTTTTAAAAGAAGAATTATCTGAGAAGCAAAACACAAAAGAACACTTCATAGTCCACTGTATACAATAAAATAGGCAATAATAACATACACAGTTTGAAGGTATAGACACTCGTGTATCCTAACTATCCTGTGATCATGACTTTTGGGACTTTAGACATCAGGGATTTTCACCTTTCAGGATTTCAACATTTAGGATTATGTTGTTTAGGATTGTCTTTTGGGATTATGATCCAAACCCAAACAAGGATAAATTCTTGGAAGCCTCTAGTCACAATATGTTTGTCAATAGATCAGTATATAACTTTGTTTTGTGTGTTTCTATTTAAAGACACTCCTTAACCTCATGGCCAACAGCACAGTAACTCATGCCTGAATGAAGCTTATCTGAAACACATATTTTCTCCCTGAGGCATCTGACAGTCTTCTTGCACTTAGGAACACTAGACAGTGCCTCAGCACTATGCCTGGAAGCCGTTTAAACAGTGAAATCGCCAGGAAAAAGCACAAAAGATGGAACTAGGCCATGAAAACAACCGTCATTTTAGTATGAGAGCTAAAACAAAAAAGGCAGGGCATCGCCATGTTCAACCTCAATTGCGAATGTGCATGTTGGGTGACAAATTCTTTCACCATTCAGCATATATCTGCAAATAACTGGCCAAGTACTATGAGTGTTTACTTTAGGCATTCTAAATAAATTTTAGAAATAGTAGAATTTGCAAATATGGAATCTCCAAATAATGAGGACTGACTATATCTATGCCATCTACACTACACATGCAGTTTCTGCATCAACTCATGAAGTTGATAAATTCAGGGATTAAGCCATTTAATCATAGATATTTAATCTGTCAACCATGTAAATACATTACACAGACCATTTTAAAGCTTCCCTTAAATGTGTTTAATAATTTATAATATTTGATATTTTACCATGAGAAAATATTAATTATATTTAATGTTTGATATTTTATAATGAGAAAATATTCAATATTTGATATTTTATCATGAGAAAATATTACATTACTATGAAACAAATGATAGTATGACAGAGTTGGTGGAGCTAGCTTCGAGTTCTTAATTTCCATGCTTGCAAAGAAAGAGCGGATACTTCCAGCCGCAGTAGTCTACAAGACTGTTCTGAGGAGTAAATATGATAATGATAGAGTGAAAGTACTTTGTAAACCCCAATTCTTTCAGGCTGCATACCTTTTGATTAATGAGGTAAGTGATGAATAGCATGCTTACTTACCTGAACCCAAATATAGCTATCCACAGCCTTCAGAACCTTCACATTGTTAACAGGGTGGATTTCAACCAACAAAGTCAAGCACTTTGATCCTACAGAGAAAAGAAGGCTTTTAGTAACAAAGATTATAATATCACACATTATTTTTTCCAAAGCAAGAAGGAAGAGCAATTTCTGATAAATCCTACTACAGTGACTATAAACTATTAAACCATTCTATCATCCTAAAGTCCTGTGAGGAGACTGAAACTGTACACCTGTTCCCAGTTTTACTCTCCAGGATGTGTGGTAGCTCCAGGACCCCAAAAGAGCAATCAGCCCAGCAAAGGACCTGCCTTCCACATCCTCAGGAGCCCTGAAGAAGCTGCTTTTTATTATGAAAACCACAGGATACTCAAGAAATGCAAATGTGAAAAGGGAAGTCTTTGAACAGCCCTGGAAACAACAGTAGATACAAGGGAGACAAATTTCAGGTTATAAGAATTTTGCATTTACAGAAAAGCATCACAATTAAAACACAAGCGGCCTCTGAAATCAAAGATCACTGTATATTACTTTGCACTCTCACCAGCAACGTGTAAAAGGGCCTAACAAACAGGTTTCCAATGGATATCATTTTTCCCAATTATCACAATTCTATGATTTGCAAAAGCAGACATACCTGAACTTTCCAAAAATATAAATATGTTAACTATTGTATTAATTATTCTACCGGGGGAAAATAAAAGGTAATTTTCTTAAAGTTTGACTTTAAAGTTTGACACTTCTACAAATCCAAGAGGGACACAGAAAAGATCTCAAGGGAGAAATCAATATACACGGAGTGAAGAAGTTGTTTGCGCTCATTCCATGCCATTTTTAGCATAGCTCCACAAGCCCTCTAGGCTTTTAAGTCTAAATAAACACAGTGTGATTCTGTGTCACTCCAATTCGGCAGCACAATGGCAAATATTGTTTGTGTAGGAAAATAAAATGATTTCTGATACATGAACATGTTAAGGCCGACAGTATCTATCAGTAGGATATAGGCTGGGTTTCCCTCGGGGACAGTGGTACAGCACTGATAATGACCCACTTATTTCTTCACTGTCACATCTAGCAAATGCCATAAAAGACAGCAATCAGGAGGAAGTCCATGGACACGGGCTTCCCCGCATGGAGTTACCAAAGATATCTAAATTTAGGTCAAGGTTCTCCCTCCCCCAAGATTAAACTGTAGAAAAGAAGGACTGGCCTTATATTTGAGCTTTTATTGAGATTCTAATATGATCCAATGTCTCTCAGTGACTTCACTGTGAAAAATAACATACAATTTGGGGAGGGCACAGAAGCGTGGAATTTAATCAGTGTTAGTTTTCAATATTTAAGAAAGCAACCTGATAGCACTGCTTTATTTTTTGGAAAAAACCAAGAATGTAAAACAATTTCTGGGCTATGTCCTAACAATTGGAAGGTCTGGATCTATCTATAAACATGCCTTTTAAATATTACTTGAAAAAGCAAGACAGTGAGTTATTATATTGAATCACATAATATACACACTACAGAACAAATGAAAATCCAGTGTTTGGTAAATGGATGCTTGTGGCTTAGGATGAAAATCCTAGTGACAGGATCTTACAACCAAGGGTATGGATGAGTTACTTTGGGAATCTGCTTGATGACTCAAAAAATGGCTCCAGGAATAAGAAAGACATTGGTGTCAAAGATATTTGTGAAGAAAAATAGAATAGAAATGCTCTGTTGAGCGGTGAGTATGGGGGGGGGAAATGAATTTCTCTTATTGTTATTTTAAATGTATATGACTAAATTAGCATATTAAATAGTACAAGCTGACATTTTTTGACCTAAAAGTGTGTGTGTGTATGTGTATGTATGTATGTGTATATATAAATATATATATATAATTTTTTTTTAAATGAGATTGAGTCTCACTCTGTCACCCAGGCTGGAGTGCAGTGGCATGATCTCGGCTCACTGCAACCTTCGCCTCCTGGGTTCAAGCAATCCTCCTGCCTCAGCCTCCTGAGTAGCTAGGATTATAGGCATCCGCCACCACACTTGGCTAATTTTTTTGTATTTTTAGTAGAGATGTGGTTTCACCATGTTGGCCAGGCTGGTCTCGAACTCCCGACCTCGTGATCCGTCTGCCTCAGCCTCCCAAAGTGCTGAGATTACAGTTGTAAGCCACCGCATCAGGCCAAAAGTTTATGTATTTTAACTGGGCGGGGGGAGGGGGAACCTTTTGGGGGAGAAAGAGGAAATTTTCTCATTAGAAAAATAATCACAGCCAGGCATAGTGGCTCACACCTGAAATCCCAGCAATTTGGGAGGCTGAGGCAGGCAGATCATGAGGTTAGAATACTGAGTCCATCCTGGCTAACACAGTGAAACGCCATCTCTACTAAAAATACCAAAAAAAAAAAAAAAAAATAGCTGGGCATGGTGGCACACGCCTGTAGTCCCAGCTACTCGGGAGGCTAAGGCAGGAGAATCTCTTGAAACCAGGAGGCGGAAGTTGCAGTAAGCCAAGGTTGCGCCACTTCACTCCAGCCTGGTGACAGAGCGAGACTCCATCTAAACAAACAAAAAAATTAGCTGGGCATGGTGGCACGCATCTCTAGCTACTCGGGAGGCTGAGGCAGGAGAATCACTTGAACCCAGGAAGCACAGGTTGCAGTGAGCTGAGATTGCGCCACTGCACTCCAGCCTGGGCGACAGACGAGGCTCCGTCTCAAAAAAAAGAAAAGAAAAAAAAGAAAAAGAATCACCATATATTTGGTCTTTTTTTTTTTTTTTTTTAAGCAGGAATTTGTACCCAAATGAGATAGCCAGCTATCAGCTAGATTTTCTTATCTTTAAAATGGGAAGATCTTTCAAGGCAAAAAAAATCTTTCTACACTAATTTTTCCCTTCTGGAGTACAACCTAGACATTTGACTAATATTACTAGCCTAATAAGAGTAAACCTTTGCAGATAGGTTTGCAACATACCTTGTGCTCTCAATAACATACCATGTGCTTTCACAGTGAGAAAGGAAGCATTGTGAATTAAGATTCTAGAGACACCAGTTCTAGTTTCAGTTCTGCATTATCCTGGTATTTACTTCACAGCAAATCACCAAGCTTTCCTAGGCCTCAATGCCTCATTATTAAACATAATAAAACATGTGAGGCAAGGTGCTCATACCTGTAATTCCAACACTTTTGGAGGCCAAGGCAGGAGGATCACTTGAGGCCAGGAGTTTGAGACCCACCTGGGCAACATAGTGAAACCCCATCTCTACAAAAAAATGAAAAAAATATTAAGAACTAGCTGGGCATGGTGGTGTGTGCCTGTAGCCCCAGCTATTCAGAATATTGAGGTAGAAAGATCACTTGGGCCAGGGAGTTCGAGGCTGTAGTGAGCCATAGGAGTGTCAGTGCACCCCAGCCTGGGCAACAGGGCAAGACCCTGTCTCAAAAATAATAATCAGAATAAAATGAAAGACCAAAGAACCAGATTACTTCTACAATCCCTTTCAGCCATAAAATCCCATTATTCTATGAGGTGCTAAATTAAGAATTTTGATGGCCGGGAGAGGTGGCTCACACCTGTAATCCCACCACTTTGGGAGGCCGAGGCAGGTGGATCACCCGAGGTCAGGAGTTCAAGACTAGCCTGGCCAACACAGGGAAACCCTGTCTCTACTAAAAATACAAAAATTAGCCGGGCATGGTAGTGGATGCCTGTGGTGCCAGCTACTCAGGAGGCTGAGGCAGGAGAATTGCTTGCACCTGGGAGGCGGAGGTTGCAGCGACCCTAGATTGCACCACTGCACTCCAGCCTGGGCAACAGAGCAAGACTCCATCTCAGAAAAAAAAAAAAAGAATTTTGAGAATCAAGATATCAGTGGAGACTGGACACAGTGGCTCACACCTGTAATCCTAACATGTTGGGTGGCTGAAGTGGGCAGATTGCCTGAGCTCAGGAGTTCAAGACCAGCCTGTCCATCCCCTCTCTGCTGAAAACACAAAAAATTAGCCAGGCATGGTGGTGCACACTTGTAATCCCAGCTATTCAGGAGACTGAGGCGGGAGTATCATTTGAACACAGGAGGCGGAGGTTGCAGTGAGCCGAGATCATGCCACTGCACTCCAGCCTGGGTGACAGAGCAAGGCACTGTCTCAAAAAAAAAAAAAAAAAAAAAAAAGATTATCAGTGGAGACTGGGAGACCATCACTGAAGGGGAAGACAAGACCAGGCAATATCTGGATACCACAAGGAGAGACAGCAGGATCAGGCAGAGGGATAGACATGACATGAGGAGAACGGATGTGAGCCAAAGACGGTGGTGTGATCCAGGCACACGCTGTGAAATGGTGACAAAGATGGGAGAGTTCAGTATGGCCTGGTTCTGAAGGAGCTCTGGTTATTCAAGCTCTTGAACCAAATCACAGCTTCACAGAGCGTCTGTGACACTTGACTGTCTATGATGGTGAGAGGGAGCTCTGGAAAATCTCAGTGGCAATGGGGCCCCTGACCCATGTGGTCACCCCAGTTGCTGCCCAGTGAGGATCTGCTGTGACTTGTAGCAAATGCAACTCCACAGGGGAGGATGAAGGGGACAGCCAGAACCTGGTTTGCTATGGAAGGCTATTTTCTCAGTAAAATATTAACTCTGACATCTCTACAGCCAAGAAAAGGAGCACTATTGATTTAAAAAAAGAAAAAAAACTGCACTGTAAAGTATGTGGATCAAAGAAGCCTGTTTACATAAAAGATGGTGCAATTTGTCTCATCTACTGTGGAAAAATCTCATTTTAAGCAACAGTGTTAAACCCCACCTGAGACAAACCACATCTTATAATCTAATGGCTTGTAAGGCCATTTGATGGACAGACAAAATAACCTTTCCAAATATTCATTCAAATAAAATATTCTAATAAATCCTATAGTGCTTTCTGATTATATCATCTGAAAACTTTACTGAACAAAATGAAATCTTCCCATGATGAGCAATATCTTTCATATACTGATGACTCCTAAATGTGTCTCTCCAGCCCCGACCTCTTACCTGGCCTTCTGACTCATCTCCAAACTCCACCTCACAGCTCCACTGGGATGTCTATTAGGCATGTCAAACTGAGCAAGTCCAAATGAAACTCTTCTTTCCTGCCCCTCCCATGCATACATACACACCCACATGCCCTTCTACCTGTTCTAGCCAAAAAACCTTACAGTGAGTCACCCTTGACTTGTCTCTTTTTCTCATATTCCCATCAAATCCGGCAGCATGCATATGTGTATGTGTGTGTGTGTGTGTGCGTGTGTGTGCGTGTATACATATATATACATATACATATATATATATATATATATAT